TCTGTTTAAAACAAAATTAACGACACTATCTCTGGCAGTAATGGAAAATGGGAACAAAAACGCTTTAATCCATGTACAAACGCAACTTCGAATCGGGTTTGGGCGAGCTCCGAAACCAGCTAAAGAACTTCATGAAACTGTTTGTCTGAGGTGTGGAATTTGGTGCCACGCAGCGTTTCAGGAGGTGTTTTTGCATAATTATTTGCCACTTTGGGCACGCCATTATCGTGTACTGGCTTGACTAGGGGAATCGTGGGATCTAGTCACGGGATAAATAAGCTGCATGCCGGGTCATAAGGGAACTCAAATTCCGTGATCACCTGTACTGATGGAGGGACACGCGCGACTTGCCCTTCTCTTTTACCGTTTTTACGCACCGTCTTATGCTTAGTGTCGCCTAGCGCTGCGGGAGCCCCGCACATGGGCCGCCGTCTCTACTGCATACAGCTGGCATTGTTGATTTCGTCAATCGCCATCCTCCGGCATTCCAGCATCTCACGGGAAGACTGGCTTGCTGTGACGTTATTTCCACTTACATCATTGTATCGTAGAGCATCAAAGCATGCATGCACTTTGAACAAGTAAGCACTAAGCGTGAACAACGGTGCAGGCAGGCATGGGCGTAGGAACAGGGGGGCCATGGCCCCCCGCTTTTCAAGGTGGGGGGGGGGGGGCAGCAGCGTTAACTGGCCCACACTTTGCAGATTAAGGTTGTGTTTAGCTCACTTTTGCACCACATTTAAATATACCTGTCGATTTACTTAGTTCACCAGCCATGTTCCTCAAGATGTTTCATCTTTTCGTCTGCTTATTGGCTATTGCTCAGCGTCACGGCCGCAGGCCGACACCAAGCGGCCTATGGAGACTGCAACGCCGGGTGCTCAAGCTGTTGCTGTGACTTGGGAGCGCGTACGTTCTAAACCTTATTGCATAGTTTTTTTTTATCAGTAATCAATTCTGACTGGATGTTGAAAATTTTAAGAGGAGCATGGATTAGCTTTGTTAATATAAGTTCAGGACCCCATTCCATCCCCAATCTACGTTCAGGAATTCCTCAATATCTCTGAGGAAAACAGAAAAACACGACACTGGAACCTGTGTGACAATTATTGAACCACCTTTGACGATAACGGATGTTGTTGCTTCTATGAGGGTTCCTGTGCTAATCCGGGGCCAACTGCGCGGGTCAGAAGGCTTCCCTTGTCAGGGATGGGAACAATGTGATATGATATATCCTTCCAATGGCCTCCGAATCGACCGGGAAATCCCGCCCCATGTCGCTAGAATGACAGCCAGAAGATGTTTCGCGGTGGGACGGAGTGGCCCATCAGCTCTAGACGGGAACCAGTAATGTGCCTTTGGCGTTCTACTCAAGGGGCCCCTTGCTTAGAAGGAAATAAGGGACCTCATTGTTGTTAAGTGGAATAGAGGTGTCATTATCGTTGAAAAGAATACGTCGAAGTGAATTTTAACAAACGAACAGGGCCATCCCATGTTTGCTTAAGAACGATTCTTTTTTCAGGATGGATTAGTGAAAAGTGCATCAAAAGGTTTGAACATGCTCGCCCGCAACCTCGAGAGCAAGGATGGCGATGGTCTGGGTTGCAGCTTCCGTACAACCGAACGGCGTCGGCCACTGCAAGTGCCACCAGACGGCGGGCGCCGTGTTGATCTGTCTTCTGGACAGATTAATAGTTACAGAAACGCGAAAAATAGAGGATCTACCTTTACTTTTCCAGTTCCACCACCAGATTCAAGCACCACTTCGCGGTGCTTTAAGGGATAATTCGTTCTTATCATCAGACTAAAAATCGCGCACGTGAAATAGGTGCCCAGACTGCCTTGTAGATGTAATATTTGGTGTTCGGAAGCGTTTCAAGGTACTTCTTTCAGAAGCGTCATTATTTTCGTCCACCCGTAGGCCAAGGCTCATTATCAGCTGTTGAGCCGACGCTGCGCGGCCTACGGAGACTGCAACCTGGCGTCGAGATTTTTAAGTAAGGTTTGCGAGTACGCATGCACAAAATTACGCCACATAACTTGTATTACTAACCGATTCAAGTGTTAAAAGGTAATGATTTCGGAACCATTATTATTTGCATCATTTTCGTCCACCGGTGGACCACGACGAAATGTCAACCATTGAGATAGCGCCCCGCTGACTAGGGAGACTGCAATGCCTGCTGTCGAGGTTTGTACTGCGAAGATTTGCGAGCGCGCATGTTAAAAACCACGCCACATAAATGTATTCGGAGTTACATTGCGGCTGGACCACTCCACACGCAACGACGAACTGCCGCACACAACGCCGACAGAGTCCCGACAGCGGGGGCCGCGAGCCGGGGCCGTGCGAACTGCGGCGGCGGTGCGCATTTGCCGCGCAGCCGGGGCCGGCCTGCGAACCTGACCACATGCCGCGCTCCGCCCCAGCAGGGGCGCAGGACACATACAACTGCACTTCAAACAATAAAATGTGTCACTTATTGATTCTGACTGAATGCTGAACACTTCCGAACAAACATGGCTTGGCGATGCTAAAACACATTGTTGACCACGCGATCTACAATCAAAATTTCGTCCTCAAATTTCGATCAAAGACATCGCTCTTCATTCCACCTTCGCGGTGTCCTCAATGCCTGAAGAACGCAGGTGAAACATGAAAAAGCTTCTGAATTCTATCGGTTTAGAAAGAGTCTACTAAGCCATTGCAAATACGGACACCGGTGATTTATTCCATGCGGTCGTTAAACGCCTGATTTCTGTAGTTTGTTGACATAAACGCGCGCTCGGGTGGGGGTCAAATTGGCTCGTCCCAAAAGTTTTTCCAGAGTGGGCTCCGAACGGTGCGGCGCAGCCGTGCTCTGTTTTGCATAGCTTTAGACAAGTGAATGGCGGATCTTTTCGCATCAAAAATTGATATGTACTTTGTAAGGTCGCTGGCCTATGGCAGGTCAATGTCGGGCCACGGTTTCAGCGAGGACAACTTCTAGGGAATCGCTCAATCCGATGCAACATTGCGGGTGTTAGACGAAGCCATAAATTTCTGAGATGCTTTCTTTGGCAGCACAGATACTGAATGAGCAAATTATGTTGACCTAAGGTCAGATAAAAAGGTCAGACCAAGGTCAAAGCCAACCTGTTTTATTACTGTAGGGCTTGCTGTATAGGATGGTTTCTGGGGCTCATTTCGAATTTGTTGACAGCAGCAACCGTATTATACATTTTCCATGTACTTGTTAGAGGTCGGAAAAGATCATTGACCTACAATGACCTGGGTCAGCATTTTTAAAAAAAGAAAATCACTACCAAGCGAAATCTTTGTCGCTTATTCAAATGCAAAGCTCAGAGCATTCTTGTAGGATTTTGGTCACCATGACCTTTAAAAGGTCAAACAGGGTTTCTGACCTTAAGTGAACATGTGACCTTTTGCTTAGAAACAGATATCTATGTCCTGGGGGCACTTACGAGACCAACCTGATATTTGACCTTGTTTGACCTTATTTGACCCGAAAGTCATGACCTAAGAAGATTAAACTTTGACCTAAGTGAGCTCACGTACAGGTCAACGCACGCTGTGAATTTGCTGTTTCTAACTCTCTTAGTTACTGAGATCTCAGAGGGCGGGGTCAAATTGACCCCCCACTCGAACGAAGGGTATGTAGCAGGCCACCCGGACGCGCGTTAAAAATATGAACAGAATTATTCCATGGTAGCCTCTGGTTTCTGTTCTGGTTACAGCATAAAAATGACAATGCAACGAAGAAAACCGTATGCCTCGCTAACATGTAAACGATATCTGGGGATATTTTTGTGGGGGGGATCACCATAAAGGGGGCTTTTGTCAACACTGTGTTCCTCTTAGCAAGGCTCTGGCTACCCCCTGCCTGCACACAAAAGCAGATCAAGTCATCTACGTTGAATGACGGGCAATAAGATGTCCGTTGGGTCAATTTATACCTAAAGTAGGCAGCTTTCCGGCGGGATTTTTCTGGGGTGGTGTGGTGTAAGGGAAGATGATTCGGAAAAGGTACTGTTGCAGGTGTCCAACACATGTTTTACATCCCAATTAGTAGCAATGCTGATCCAGAAATGTGCAACAAAACGGCCGTACCATCAGTTATCGGTCAGTCATTCGAAGACAGCCGGGACAGGACAGTGGCCACCGACGGCGGACGGGAGGAGGGCTAGACAAAGAATATATGACAGAAGGGCCTGCATTCTGTGGCTTGCTTTTCAAAGGAGAATCTCCAGCTCTATGGTTTTTGTCACATGGTTTTTGGCAGTTTCAAGCTTCCGAATTTATTTCCGCCTAAAATGCCGCGACAAGTCTTATCTCCTGAAAAGCGTCCAGCAAAATAAAGGTGCATGCAAAATCTGTTGTGCCGTGAGGATCGATTCACTTTCAAAATTTTCTCCAGCCTATGCGCAGGCCATATTTTGGCATCTACTTTGTGGAGACAAATGGCTCCTCGATGACCCAAAATGCCTACCCGTTTGTGGATTTCGGCTCCCAGGAAAGATAAGGTTGAAATAGACGAATAATCTTGGGAAGGTGGATAGCATTATTTCCCGAATGACATAGATGAGCTGGGTAGGCAGGAGTGTGCATAGCAGTCACTGTGTGATGCTAGAATATGCATGCAATGACTGCTAGAATAGCAGTCATTACATTTGAGTAAAGAGCGATGACCTCCATCTCTAGCCCCCTCCCCCCCCGGTCATCGGGATTTTTTCCGGAAAAAGTTCCTGAATTACGCCCCGAGCTTGCCTCCCCCCCCCCCCACACACTTTTTGAAACGTTCCAACGCCTATGCATGCAGGCTTCTGCGGCTGATTGATACGTCTGATGCTGGATGTCCCGGATGTCCTTCATACGGAGCCAAGTTTCCGCCTGGATATCCTTCATTTGGAACAAGTTTTCCAAGCCATGCAAAGAGGCGCATCTGCGACGAAATGCCTAACTATGTATTGGCTGCAATACGGCCCTGGCCTGCCGCGGAGTAAAAAATACAGGCCTGCAGGAATATATCGCCTGTGTTTGGAACGGCCGAATGTGGAACAGTGGCTTTAGGCGGGTGTATTATCTTTGCTGCTTGTTGTCACTGGCTCTGCAGGTCAATATAGGTTATGCAATCCTGGATAGCCGGGAAGGATTTGCCGAGGTTGGTGGGTGGAGATAAGCACTGTTTAGTGTTAAACCTTTTGCTTTCCAATTGGTGCTATAGGGATACTATGCATAGAGATAGTCCTTAGGTACGCAGGGCTTACCCTTAAGGTTGATTGTTTTGGGTAGGGATGAGTTGTGGTTGTAGTGAAAGTGGAAATGATTGCCACCCATGCCCATGTAGCTTATCCCTGCTGTGCTAAGGTCTTCCAAAAATCCGCAAAGTTCAGTGATCATATGTGTGATGCTAGTAGTTTGTTCATGTCTATACATGCATATGGATGCTTGATCCAGCATGGATTTACAGAATCACAGCACATGTGAAGAAGTGTTTGTTTCAACCCATATGCAACAATCAACATAATTGTTATGCAAAAGTTTGATAAGTTGCAGTGCTTTGCAGGACACGTCCCACATTGTCATGTCATGTTGCCTTTAGCCTGGCTGCTGTCACCACCTGAACATCATCTGAAGTGTCTTGAGCTTGCCTCAGCATGGACAGATTAATGTGAAGATGATGCTTTATCTAATTAAGCTATCCAGGTTCACAAGTCCCATGGTCTTAACATCTATCTATCTATCTATATATATATATATATATATATATATATATATATATATATATATATATATATATAATGCTGTCAGCTATATTGAGGCTAGGTATTGAAATCAATTGACATTATCCAGCTTTTAGTTATGCTAAGTATTTTAGATAGCAAGAGCTTAGCTATCAGGTTTTCAGTTTGATAACTCTTAGTAGTTGCCAACAGATGTGCATAATTCATATGTTGCAATGTATGAGCAGCAGTGATGTTTACACTCTAAAGCTGCATTGAAATGCACTGTTATTAGATTGCAAAGCTGGCTATGCTGTACCTACCAGATGATGACATGATAGTGGAGCCAGCAGATTGGTCCTGTGCCCTTGCAAAAGTCAAAATAAGTTTTCTGGCTCAGCCCATTGCCACATAATACCACTTAGCTATGTTTTCACTGCATATACATTTACATTTTCAGATTAGGTCAACTGCTGACACAAGCTGTTTGGCTCCATCTTAGACCTGTGGACATTCTTTTACTGATTTGCTTCATTGCACTCTAAGTGTGTGTAATGTGATGTGATATTTTTGGTCCTGCTGTTGAGACTGAAACTGGACTCTCTTTTCTTTATTTTTGGTTTAATTCTCTTCATCTCAGTCTACATGTGTTCATGGCTGACTGGCAGGAACTGCATGCCAGGCACTCACTGCCCCAGTGCGAGTTTGCTGCTGACAGCTGGCTGTGCTTGGCAGCTGGGCAGTGTGTGGCGCCTGACCGTGTGACGGTACGTCCGCCGGCGGCCGGCGCCATGTGGCCCCCCACGTACGCGCACCACCACTCGTCGCGCTGCAAGTCGGCGCTGCGCCCTCTGGCTCCACTTGCCTGGACCTACGAGATGCGCCGCGAGATGCAGGAGATCCTGCCCGGCCTTTTCCTGGGTCCGTACAACGCGGCCAGCAGGACCCAGGTGGGCCGCGCCGCCGCTGCTGCTGCTACTGCTACCACTGCTGTGCTGCTGCTACCGCTAGTGTTGCTGCTGCTACGCCAGTCTTTATTCATGGCCAGTAAAAACCCAGTTGGTTTCCGCGTCGAGTGGAATTTTTATGACGAGGCCAAACAGCTGCACTGGCCAGGTGCATGCTTCCGAAGCGACGCTGCTGCCTGTGGAGTGTCACTGGCATTATGCGACCACAGCATCAAATTGTATCCATGAGATGTACTGTATTTGCGGCTATATCCATCGTGCCGCTGGACAGTGAGTGCACGGGTCGTGGTGGGTGAGGTGTCTGAGGGCAAGCGGCGTCGCCTGGCCGGCCAGCCGTGTTCCTGACCGTGTGCTTGCACTTTGCCACAGCTGGATCACCTGCAGCAGGTGGGCATCACGCACATCGTCTGCGTGCGACGGAGCGACGAGGCCAGTCGCATACGGCCGAACTTCCCACACATGTTCCAGTAAGTGATGGCTGGCCGGCGGCCCCGACTGGAGGCGACGGCGCTGTGTCGGAGCGTCGCCGGACTGGCGGGGGCCGCTCTCGCGGAGGGTGTGTCGGCATAACCGTCTGCAGCCCCGGTGGTGACAGCCGGCCGGGCCCTGACCGCCGGCCGGCTGACTCACCATTTGGTCAGTAGGGTTGTCTGACCATGCAGCTGTGACGACCTGTGCTGGGACCTCCAAACTGGTGCTCGCGCGGGGCAGTGAAATCTGCGATGGATGGTTTTCGAAGCGGCGACCCCTCCCGTGCCGGGTGCAGCAGCGTCAGCGGCTGATGCGGTCTGGGGGCCGGCAGGTACCTGGAGGTGGAGCTGTCGGGCGCGGCCGAACAGGGCGTGCTGAGCCACGTGGCGCCGGTCAGCGCCTTCCTGGACGAGGCGCTCTGCTCGGGCGGTCGCGCGCTGGTGCACGGCAACCTGGGCATCTCGCTGTCGGCCGCACTCGTCGTGGCGTACGTCATGCGGCGGCTCTCGCTGTCATTTGGGTGAGTCGGCGGCTCTCGCTGCCATTTGGGTGAGTCGACGGCTCTCGCTGCCATTTTGGTGAGTCTGCGGCTCTCGCTGCCATTTTGGTGAGTCGGCGGCTCTCGCTGCCATTTGGGTTAGTCGGTGGCTGTCGCTGTCACTGGGTTGAAGCGGCTACGATTGTGGCCGAAGAGCAATTTTCTTATATTTGGAAGGAAGTGTGTGTGCTCTAGTATGTCAAAGCTAGCAAATGCATGGGATGATTTATATAACTAAGCCCACCTAAGGCTGCGCGCTTCCTTGGACACCACATGCCGACTTATAAATAAGTAGACACCTAGTAGTTGTGCAATATTCTTACATTGCTATTGGAATGTGGAAGGCTGGCTTAGGCGGGAGGTTATTCGCCAACAAAGCTATCAAACAGTTTTACTGAACTCGCTGTATCACTGTTTGGTGTTGCGTCGGAGAGGAGTTCTGGGGCGCGTCGACTGCAAAAGGTTTTGCAGTTGGTTTCTATGTCGCCAACCCAGGATACAAGATTTACAGCAAGGCGTACCGTCATCTGGGGAGGTCATGGTTACTTGCCTCCAGCTCTTATACTGTGCATCTCCTCTGGGAGCATGACGTAGCGTTCTTTGACTCCTGCATTTCAGTCTTCCACGTAGCCCCGTGTCTTTCCGTGCCGCACACCGCCCTACCTACGTACCTCCGTACCCCCGTGCCCCCCCCCCCCGTGCCCCTGTGCCCCCGTGACCCCGTACCCCCCGTACCCCCGTGCCCGTGTGCTCACGTACCCCTATACCCCCATACCCCCATACCCTCATACCCTCATACCCTCATACCCTCGCACCCCGTTCCCCCCCATACCCCCATACCCCATATCCTCGTACCCTCGTACCCTCGCACCCATACCTCCATCCCCTCGCACCCCGTTCCCCCATACCCCCATACCCCCATACTCTCGTACCCTCGTACCCCCCATACCCCCATACCCCCATACCCCCATAAACTCATACCCTCATACCCCCATACCCCCATACCCTCGTACCCTTGTACCCCCATACTCCCTACCCCCATGCCCCCATCCCTCGTACCATCGTACCCTCGTACCCCCATACCCCCATACCCTCGTACCCTCGTACCCTCGTACCCTCGTACCCTCGTACCCTCGTACCCTTGTACCCTCGTAGCCATACCCCATACCCTCGCACCCCGTTCCCCCATACCCCCATACCTCCATACCCCCATACTCTCGTACCCTCGTACCCTCGTACCCCATACCCCATACCCCCATACCCTCTTACCCTCTTACCCCCGTACCCCCATACCCCATACCCCCATACCCTCACACCCCGTTCCCCCATACCCTTGTACCCTCGTACCCCCGTACCCTCATACCCATACCCGCATACCCCATACCCCATACCCCATACCCCCATACCCTCGTACCCTCGTACCCTCGTACCCTCATGCCCTCATACCCTCATACCCTCATACCCTCATACCCTCATACCCTCATACCCTCATACCCTCATACCCCATTCCACCTTTGCATGGGAAATACTGATATGCCCCGACCCTGTACCTGTCATCTCCTCGGAATGGATGCGACGAAATAACGTTTTTGTTACCCTTGTGTCTTTCCTAGGTGGTTGCGAGGAAATCCATGTTTCCGACAACAGTGCATGCTTGCAAAGAAAGATGACTGCGTGTTTCGAACTAGTGTATTCCTATACGTGATCTGGAAAGGGACAAAGCGACCATTCTCTGGCCCGTGCTTCTCTGAATCTCCTCAAAATGAGGCGACTTGGCGCATCTCCACCTCACTGCTCCCACATCTCCTCTGGATGGGACGGGGTGGCGTGCCTGTGACCGAGCGTCGTCGCCGTGCCTGGACAGGGCCGCCAGCAGTCTGGTGGCGGAGCGGCGCTACTGTGTCCATCTCAGTCCGGCCCTGGTGCACCAGCTGCACGAGTACGAGCCCATCTGCCGCGCTGAGGCGGCCTTCCTCGGCGGCCACTGCAGCGGCGGCCGCCGGCGCCACAAGCGCTCCTGCGACCAGCTGGAGGACGACAACGAGCCCATGGACCTGACCACGTGAGGGCGCTGGCCGGCCGTCGTCGGCCGCGCTGTCGCCCCGCCGCGTCCGGTGGTCGCCGTGTGCTCGGGTGACAGGAGTGCGCGCGGGCGCCGTCCACACGGAGCCGTCCGCACCGTCGGCTCGGCACCGGGGCGCAGCGCACTGCAGGAGCTGAGCCCATGCAGGCTGGGACGGGCGCCGGCCCGTCTCCCCGGACTGTCCGTCAGCGTTGTCCGCCGTCCCGGCCCGGAGAGGCAGGCGAACTTTGACAGCCCCTCGTCACTGGATGGCAGGTCCGAGCTGCACTGACCGGGTTTCAGACTAGTTGGCGTGTTGTGGGCACCTCCGGCGGACCCGGATGTACGGTTTTAGGCAGGCTCTGAGCTGGTGGAGGAGCTGGAGGCAGCTACAATGCGCCGGCGACGCGCTGCCGCTGCGTGTCCCCCGTCCGGGTGTACTGCGCTGGCTTTCTGTGCGCAGTGCCGCGCAGTTGGGGCTGCCGTGAGGCTCCTACCAGCTGGCCCTTGGCCGTCACCCGCGTGGTCGGGCGGCCGGGGCCGTGTCCCGTTCTCACGGTAGCCAGCCGGTGCCCGTTACTGCGCTCGGTGGCGACCGACTCGCAGCCGTGTCCCAAACAGGCCTGCTGGTGTTCTTGAGCACGCGCACACGCACAGCTCCCAAGTACTGCCTGGGACACTGCCTGCGGACGTTCTGGTCCGGTCTTTTGGCGTCGGATCCCGACCAGCACCGCTCGCCGACGGGGCCGGCTTTAGGCTGGTGACTGGAGCAGCGCGGTCGGGGCGCTCCCGCTCCTTCAGTACCACGCCCGTCCGTCAGCGACCACAGCCAGCCAGGCCAGCCAGCCCTCGAACAGGCGCAAGCGAGGGCTTGCGCGATTCATCGTCCGGCGGTTCTGTTCCCCCCGAGTGTGAGCAAGACTGCAGTAGTGTGCTTGCCGGTAAGTTGGCTGCCACAATTTACTGTTAAACCAGGTTTACTGAGTTCATTTAGACTCGGTGCATGCCAAAGACACTGACAGGAATTTTGCTGCAAGCAGAGTTACACCGGGCTAGTCTGTGCCGGCGGACATGTCAGCATGTGTACACACTCGCATCCTCACACATCTCTTCCTCGCCGTCTATCCCACCATATACGCCCACTTCACTGCGTGCGCAGTACGCACATCATGTCATCGCCCTGATAGCGTCATTCAGGGCAGGGCTTTAGGGGTTCTGCGTTTATACAGTTTCGACTCCGTATTTTATTAGCGGCGTCGGCAAGCACTCGTGGCTTGCGTCAGGCGTACCTGCATGACATTGGTTGGATAGCGTGGACTTTCAGTAGCAGGCTGCGATAATCGGGTCTCATACGTCCGCGGAGCATGGCTCACGCTCTGTCTATATTCCCGTCGTGGCTTCTGTATTGGTTATTGCCGGTCATTGTATTGACGTGTCAGTGAACATCTGGTGAGAGAGCCTCCATCATAGGTGCCCCGAGTTTGTATTTTTCTACTCCCGTATAAGTGTAATACATGCGTTACTTGGTTCTGTCGTCCGCGCTGTATGCGACAGTGTGGAATGCAAAGAAGCCGTGGAAAGTAAAATAAATGTGAAGTAACGTTAGGCCTGCTTGTGTTATGTTTTGGGCGGGCAAGATAAATTCCAGTCAACCAAGACATCAAGGTATGTTATCCAGGATACCCAAATACAGGCGGTGTATTTATGTTGATCTTGTCTGGACCGTCGTTGGGTGGTCACGGCGGCGTCGGTTCGTTCCGTCGCGTGCTCGCCTCTTTGCATGGCTCGGCTCCGTCTGCTGGCCGTGATGGGGGCGGGTCAGCGGCCGCTGGCCCAGGGTCTGGGGTCAGGTCGCAGGTCCACCGGGCCGAAGCGGGCGGGGCGGGGCGGCGGCGGCTGGCCCGGGGTCTGGGGTCAGGTCACAGGTCCACCGGGCCGAAGCGGGCGGGGCGGGGCGGCGGCGGCTGGCCCGGGGTCTGGGGTCAGGCCACGGGCACATTGAAATGGACCGGACAGGGTGGGTCGGTGGCCGCTGGCCCGGGGTCTGGGGCCAGGTTAGAGGCCCACCAGACCGGACCAGACAGGGTGGATCGGTGGTCGCTGGCCCGGGGTCTGGGTTTCGGGACACAGGCCCACCGGACCGGATCTGACGGGGTGGGTCAGTGGCCACTGGCCCGGGCCTCAGCACCGCCGCCTGTCTGGGTGTAGATCATCCACAGGGCACCGGTACCATATGTTTCCCGCGTCGGCCGCGCGGAGGTCGTCCTCTCATGCCATGTCCGACGGACGGCGCGTCCTGACGGTGGGGCTCGGCTCGGTGGCATGCGTGCCTTAGTGCCTATGTTTTTGGCGCGTAGCTAGAGCATTTTTTTCTGGGAACGAAAAAGGGAACGAAATGTCACTGATATGGCGTTACGAGATATGCATGTTATTCACGACAAGGATTATAGCAAAGTTGAACGGTTGCATAGGTGATCATAGGCCTGGATAAGTGGAGGTGATTTAGTTTCGTTGAAATGAAACACGTCAAACGAACGTTATCACGATCTAAGGTTATGCAATACTCTTGAAAATATGCTGAAGGGAACTCTGATGTGGTGTCGTGGCGGATCCAACGGATGGGAGGCTGGCTGGCCGCCGACCTGATCCAACGGACGGGAGGTTGGCTGGGCGCGGACCTGGCTGCCTCTGAGATCCAACGGACGGGAGGCTGGCTGGGCGCGGACCTGGCTGCCTCTGAGATCCAACGGACGGGAGGCTGGCTGGGCGCGGACCTGGCTGCCTCTGAGATCCAACACACAGGAGGCTTGTTGGGACCGGGCTCGGCTGCCTCTGAGATCCAACACATGGGAGGCCTCTGATATCCAACAGACGGGAGGCTGGTTGGGACCGGGTTCGAATGCCTCTGATATCAAACAGACGGGAGGCTGGTTGGGACCGGGTTCGAGTGCTGCATTCCCGGCAGAGACATGCTGTCTTGGCCGCGACTGCAACGCCAGCACACAACCACATCGACGGTTGTCATACTACCTCTTCTCGTCGTTGGAGAGAGAAAACAGACGCATTTACCACCTTCGCGGGAAATAACCTGCTTCGCGCCAGACAGCAGATGTAAGCCTAGTAGCTGCCTATTCCAGTGTGGTAGACAATAATAGATGTTGGCGAAGTTAGCGATGTGAATGATGTTCCAGCTATTACAAATTTACATCCAAACTTCTGGCGCGAACGACAGAAATCTGTAAGAAACAAGTGTCAGAACATTATGATGAGGAAGATTTTCTTCACCAAAACTCAACGGCATTTGTGGCTAACATCGCTCTCATCAGATAGCCTGTTTCAGCCAAGTTTTCATTATGATATTATTCCATCTTTGATGATTGATCTTAGGTCTTATTCGAGCTTACGAGAGAGGTAGGGTGCAAAATGTAAAACGTGGATTGAACGCAGCAACTTACCTGAGGTCGGAGCTAAAAAGAATCTCAAAGACTGCGAATACAGATTTACATCAGGACGTTGGCAGTTAACAACAGCCGTGGACCTATAAGCTGAAACACAGGAGTAGATGGCAGGGTTCCTGAGGTTCCACCTCGAAATCGTTGCTCATTGGAGAGCTCAAACAGTCTAGTGAGGTGGCCTTCGGCTCCTAACGCCGCTATGGGTTTGGGTTGTGGCACTCTCAGTCGTTTGACCCTAAAGTCAACATTAATCGACAGGAGGTTTTTTTAAAGAAAGCTTGCTCTCCTCGTAGTTTGACAAGTTAACGGATGTCTGTCTTTCAATGCTGCTTTTTTATTTGTGCTGGTAATTTTAGACGTTCCGGCGTTTTGTGATTCTACTTTGGGTTTACTTGCTGAGGTAAAAACACACACAACACACACACACACACACACACACACACAACACACACACAACACACACCACCACACACACACACACACACACACACACACACCACACACACACACACACACACACACACCCACACCCACACTCCACACGCACACGCACACGCACACGCACACGCCACACGCACACGCACCACCACACACACACACACACACGGATATATATGTATATTTATATATACATATATATATATATATATGTATATATATATATATATATATATATATATATATATAACGGAACCTGCGGGTTAACGGCTATAGGGCCGGTGGCAGGGCTACTAACGTTTTTAGGCTCATTATGCGTCCTTTTGCTGTTTGTAGCGACGGATGCGGCAGTTTTGGCGTGACATTCTGCACCCTTCCCATGTTTTGAGCTTGCAGCAGATATTGAAGGTCAATAACTGTCATGGCGAGAACGTCGGTGACGCTAGAAACCGTCGCGGACTATCTTGTGAGAGTGGCTTTGTCGCCAAATGGGAAATTTCAGCAAGTTTTGGCTTTCTTGCGTTCCCATCATTTGACATTGAATTTTAAGTTCCAGGACAACATCTTTATTACATAATATTCGGTCTACCACGAAGACTGAAAATTAGTATCGCCTGACACGGGTCCGTTCACCTGCGCCGGTATGTTTGAACGTTTTGAGTTTAGACGTCTTAACCAAACTCGAAGTCGAATGACAGGAATTTTCCGAAGTCTGGACGCTTCCTGTCATTTGGCCTTAAATTTGCCTTGCAGATCAGGGTTACTTAGCATGAAGCCTTTGCCTATCCGATATTTTGACCCGATCTTTCCTTTGTAATCGTTTTTTGTTGCATTGATATTTTCGGGTGATATTGCGTTCACGTCCTTTGATCTTGAATTTGATCCCGAAGGGCGAACGCTGTCGCAAACCGCAAAATGGTCCTCAGCGACTGATAAAATCGACGACGAACTTCTCTGAGCAAAAGCTTGGCGAAATCTGGCGTCGCAGTTCAACCCGAATTCGAACACGTTACCAACTCTACGGACATCAATAGTCGTTAGCGGTTGTGATGCTGTATCAACCGGGAGAGCGGCGGGGCGAAGTGGGGGGGGGGGGGGGGGCGGACAGACTAGGTAGGCTGGAAGTCTCGTCGTGACATAGAGTCCCATTTGTTTTATTTTCGTTTCGGAAAAGAAGTTAACTGAAATCTAAGTACTAATTATTGTGCCTGAAAAGTTACCTGTCCTCAAAAATTGAACGGAAGGAAACCTGATGGCGTCTCCCCATTGTTCGTGCGTCTCCGTGTGGGAATTCCTGTGCATGCTGCGATAGCGTGTGAACCGCGCTGGAGAGTAAGCGGGGAGATTGTGACAGAGCAGGTATCATTAGCTATCTCGGTCTAGCACATTTTGGGCCTTCGAATTATGCTTTCCGTCTTTTACAGCACTACACTGCGTAACACCCTAAGACGACTTCGGCTTTAGAAATGCAGTTCCAGCTGGTGCTTCTTCCCTTGATGGCTTAAACCGTTACGTGTCACCGGCGCCAGTCGCCTAGCTCCGCTGCTCAGCCGTGCTCAATGTCGGGGCGCACACGCCGGGAGATGGCAGCTCTGTGTGGTTTGAAACGAATCAGCGTGTGCACTGGAGCGTGCGCGTATTTTGATTCCTGGGGCACGTGCCCTCCCTTATCGTTTTTTTATTATACGCATTAGGCTACGTGCACGTGATTTAATGTCTACAAGGATAGATTCGGAGTAGACATACAAAAATAAGTAGATAAAAGTATGCCATGCCGTTTTATGGTATGGAACAAATTTCGCGCGTCTGTAGCGCGCTAGACTTGGTTTTCAATGAAAACCTTTGAATTGCACCCTGCCATTGCGAAATTCTGTGTACGCCCCTGTATGCATTGCAGCGTAATTAAAACCACAGTCTCATGATAACTAAATCTTCTGTACCTTGGGGACAAGCTTCCGGCCTCGGGCAAACTTTCAGACCTCAAGTCCCCCCCCCACCCCGACTTTTCGGAAGTTTTCTAGCGTCGTCGACATTACGGCCTTATATTGCACACTGAAAAACAGCTCACATGCACACACAGGCACCGCTGATACCGAATGATATGCGGTGTAACTACATCTTGCGGTATCTGCCCGCTGCCACGCGCGTGAAATATTGTGTGAGCGGCCATGCTTGCATGCGTGGTGGCGGACGTTCACCAGCAGCTGCTAAGCACTCGGACGTCAGGACAGGGCACTGTTCGAGTTAAAGCTCGAGCAACCAGACATTACAGCTGCAAACCTCGCCATGCTGGGTGGCGGAGGTGTGCTGCGCAGAACCCATTAGCAAGCGCAGATCCATTAGTCTTCCCGCGCCGGATAGCGTACCCTTGGACATGACTCGGTGGACGCGTGACGCTGCCGCGCCTCAGCCGGCCCCAGCATAGTGACGAGCCGGCGGGCTAGGCCAGGTACACACGGACCGCACGCGCTCCCTCCTCGCTGCGGCGGCGTCGCGTCGGGCACCGCTCCCGAGTGGTGCTGTCATCTGTTGGCGCCATGGCAAAACCAGCGTTCGCGCCGCCGGCATCAGAGGAGCTGAAGTTGTGTCGGCTGGCACCGGGTGTGCCATAGGCGGAGTTGACGCTGCCGAGTGAGAGCGTTCGCCCCAGCCGGGGCCGGCCCTCGCCCTCCAGATGCTGCTGTTGAACAAAGAGCATAACATGGACATCGCGTCAGCAGATGGCCGATGGGAAGCACATAACCTCGTGTTCGCGAATCACGGGCAGTACTTGTCCGATCACTGGCCTTACGGGAATAGAACCATATGTTGATGAGGGGTTTGGTTTTGGCTAGGATGTATTTGTATGATCTCAAAAGAATTTTGCATGGCTATGAGAGTGGGGAAGGAACATGGCCCGGGGATTAGGGAGCGGCTGCGGGGTATGACTGAAGCCACATTATTTAATTCTTGGCACCGAGATTTGCCCCGCACTGGAGGCCTGTGTGGCGGCTTGCGCGGGTGCTCGGGTGAAAAATTGTCTTTTCTGTCACCGACGAAATTTGGGACTGTCTAACTTGTCACCTGGAGTCAAGTCGTTCGGAGACCGTTGCAACATATTTCTAAATGCGATACACCGAAATTATAAAGACAAGTTACGTATAATGCAGCATAACCATGAAACATTTTTGCCTCGGGAGCTCATTTCTACCCAAGTGTCATTCGCTTGCCATCGAACACTGAGTGCTGGCTGAGACTAGCATAATAGAGTTATCAGATAAAAGCATTTTTAACATAATCAGCCTAAGGGCGTGTAGCTTTCTATTGAGTTTGGGGGGGGGGGGGATCAATGGGAGGCAGAGTTGTGCCTTCTAACCAGGGATGCAGTTTTCTATTTGTAGTGATCATTTGTATCCATTGTTTTTCATGTATCATTATTTTGGGGCTCAGCCACCAAACACCAATCTTGGGAAACTACACTCCGGCTCCCAACTATGAAAAAGTGCGTCAAATATCGGGAGGGAACTGTTCTAAGTGCATTTTGGAGGCAGGTTCAGTCATTTTTCCTTCTGCCCCCCCTCCCCCCTCCTCATTCCATTCCTCACCCTCCTCCTCCCCTCTGTGATTCAGCTCATGACTGAGGACAATCTTTTTCTAGTGAATCGATTCAGCTCACGACTCGTCCCAAAACGATTGATTCACGAGTCGATCTATGACTCAGCTCGATTCAAACACAAGTCTGGCTTCCAGCTAGGGTCGCCCCGCGGCTGACGATCGCAGCGTGCTTCGGAGCGGCGAGACGCTACGGAGACAAGGAAGGTGGCGACACATGTGGATAAGAGGGTTGATGGGTGTACATCTGATATTGTTTGTCTCCGTAAGCGCAACTCACGGATAACGGCAACAGATGGTGGCGGGCGATGGTGACCGTATTTATAGATGCAGTGGTTTTCCATCGTATCGCATAGGACCAAATTAGCTCGAAGCTCATCCACGCGGTAGCCTTTGAGGTTTTCGGTTCGTTACAACTCTGACGTCATGTACTGAGGAATTCACAACATCGAAGCGACGCATACCATAAATGTACTAATTTGAAAGAAAAACCTACTAAAACACGCGGGGGACCGCATTAACACGCGTAATTACACCCAAGACGTGGGCTTACGGTAACACAGGCCACTAGTATCCCGGAAAAGCCTTCACACGGTCTCAGAATGGGGCCGTAACAAGTATTAAATGGAATCGTCCGCATCATAACATATTGCGCTTTGTTATCACTCGTATGGTCCCACCGCTCTTTCGCCGTTCTGCTTTTTCCCACCTTTCTCGAAATTTACCCGACTGCTCCACTCGTCACAGAAAAACATATACGATATCGAATGCTTTCATGCATGCTTTCTCCGTACCACATGTCAAGGGGAGCTTGTTGCGTGTTCCTTGAGCCCACAATCAAAAGTGAGCGGATCAAGTTCAGCTGAATTTTTTCTGCAACCTTCGCACGTGACGGGGATGGGAAGGATGCCACGTGCCGTACAATGCTCCGGTGCGACCGTACGAATCAGGCTGGCCGATTTTGGCTAATTGCCAGCAGACAGCCCTTCACGAGTCGTCATGGCTCAAATCGGCCCGTTAAAATTCGCTACGATTTTCTGCCTTTAACAACTCGCGCTAATGAGGGGGGGAGGAGGGAGGGTAACGCGACCCCCCCTGGTGTCCACAAACTAAAAAAAGATGGAGCTTGGTGGAAGACGCCAATGGATTGGCATCAGCGATATCTCGCGATTGGTGCTAGTTTCAACGCTGTTGGGTCAGTAAGTTACCACATTACGACAGTTCAAAGGTCGAATTTTCCAAGAATTTGCACTTTGGCTTACATTATCATACTTACGAAACAATTTCTTGTGGCAGCACACAACTTACATAGGCGTATCCTTGTTCAGGTGTGTATTTTCAGGTGTTTTCGGCTTGCACTTACGATATATGACTCCGTTAAAGGGAGTGTTCCACATTTACATGGGGTTTGCAGCTGAAATAGCCATCTTGAACACCTTTTGGTGCTGTCCACAATCCTACCATTCTGAAGATCCAAGCCCCTCTAGTTGCTGAGCAACACGCCCGCGAAAATGGGGATAGGTACATTGGGGCCAGTATTTCATAGTCATCTTGGTGTACATGACACCATAATAACGTCATTCAAATTCTGTCATTCCATAACTCCATTGCGGTGATCAACGCCAGTAAAAATATCATTGTCGAGGCTTTCGTATATGGCGTTATTGAGCAGATTTCCAGACATAACGTCCGTCAGTCGTCCCTCAATCAATGCTGTGTAAGGTGCACCGCGTAATCAAACCATGGCGCATTGAGAAGTATATTTACTAAACAGAGAGTTGTGCCGTCTCGAGCAGTCTTTTCCACCTAAAAAGCATACCTGTAGTTTTAAGTGAGCTTCTTTCGTCATATCTGAAGCTTGCTTCAATGTTTTCGAATGTGAAGCATTCCCTTTATTGTTAAAGAGTCGGCCCACCGCGCGGGCTCCGCGGCACCGTCGGTTACCGCCCGCCGCCGTGTCGGCCGTAGATCATCATGCAGCGTTCCTAAAAGACCGTCGCTGCCCCGAAACCAGAATAGCTAGGGATGCGTTTTTGTTGCCAAAACCCAGGCATTGGATGCCCGATGCAAAACCCGCGCATATATCACTGACAATTCAGGCGTGATCGCAAACTCGATGGAGAGGTATCCTGAAACTCCTTAGGTGTTTTGGGTGTCATCGCACCTCCTCCTACCAGGATGATGGTCACCCACAGTGTTACCTAAGGTCAAAACCGTTCCCGCACCGGGAATCGAACCCGGGCCTCACGGGTGAGAGCCGTGTATCCTAGCCACTAGACCATGCGGGAGACATCACGAGGCATTTCTCGGATTGAAATCGTGCTGCTGGTCTGCCGCCGTTGGATTGCCGCCAACAACGAACTATTTTTATCCCTGTCCATTCACGCCACCGGGCGCACGTTTGCATCCGGGCTCCCTCGCCGTCCTCCCGCCGTCCGCCCCCTCCGAGAAGGCACCCGCCTCCTTGATCTCGTCTCTGGCTGGATTGGTTCGCATCTGATTGATTGCTCCCGCCTCCTAATCCCGCTTCTGACTTGATCTCGCCTCTCGCGGGATCAAAGATCACGTACGTTAGCCCTAGCATTGCCCTGATCTAGTTCTGGTTCACGTGCCAGAGGCCAAACGGTTGCAACATTTTTCTGGTAAGTATTTCGGTTGCAAGAATTGACATTCCAAAAAACGTGGCGGTGTCACCATGTGCTTGTTGCATAACGTCCGTTGGCAAATGCAGCCTGTGTCTGAAATATCGGCACAAATAAAATGCCTCCAAGATGCTTATTGGTAGCATCTAGGAGTAAGACTTCAACACAGGTAATATCTTCCTCGCTAAAAAGCACGCTCGAAAAATATCACTACGTCATTTTACATCAAGCTGAAAGACTCTTGAACGTACCGAGCCATTCAAAGGTAATCAATACCCTTTCCACTATCAAAGATGCCATGGCCAAGTTGTGAGACATGATCATAATGATCACCAAGCAATCAATCACAGACTTTACCCTCTAGCCACCTTTCTCAAACATTGGTCACGTTCCGATAATAGCAGCACTCAGCATTGATCGACACATTTAGCACACTCAGATCATAGAAGTTGGGGCACAAACTGGCCCAGACGCTGCTACCCGTAGATGGTGGTAATGAACTTAATGGTGGCGTACATGCAGTGACGGAGCGTTTTTAATCGGTTCCATTTAGAAGCAGCATCGGACGCCATACCACTTACCCCACCGTTCAAAAAACGCGTTGGACAAAATAGCAAACCATGGGCAACCAACGAATCACAAGGCCTTGGTAAGAGTGGCAGGTCGTCCCGGCATGTACAGACGAAGACGTGGCGATTGCAGAGGACGCTGAATGGCACACAGACGCAGCACGATGGTACAAAGCGAAACAGCAGCACAGCTTAGCGGCATGACGGACGAATGCATGACCAATGAATACGAACGAAAGCGACGACACTCGCAGAACACCAACACAACTCACTCCGGTTTCACCAAACCCTGAAATTACTGACGGTCGAAAAACACGGGCTTATTCCTCCATCAGAAACTGCTGATGGAAATATAGCGACAGACGAAACAGTTAAGGCCTGTCTCTCAAACGAACACCTTACATCTCAGACGAACATGAATATTTGTTCAGTAACTGCTAAATTTTCGCAATAAGAATCATCCTAGCCCAGCACTGTAGCACATTTAAGTAAACGCCGATCAAGTCTTCAAGGCACTCAAGTCCTCAAACCCTCACAAATATAGCAGCCCTGACCAAAGTCCAACCAAATCACTTATATCAACAGCTATCCTGATAAGCCCCTCGTAAAAAATCAATCCATAACTGTCCTCGGGAGTTTTTCCAAGATTCTGGAAAGAGGCAGTTCTAACAACTCATCATCAAAATACAGGCTTTCAACTCAACATTCGTCACTACCATTGTATCAGACTTCTATCATGTTGGTCAACGATCCTAGAAAAGCTTGTTTTCACTGCCATGTACTCTCCCGTCAAGACTTACAAGCTCCCATCAGACCGACAGAGCTGGTACCGTCCGTCAAGACTTACAAGCTCCCATCAGACCGACAGAGCTGGTGCCGTCCGTCAAGACTTACAAGCTCCCATCAGACCGACAGAGCTGGTACCGTCCGTCAAGACTTACAAGCTCCCATCAGACCGACAGAGCTGGTACCGTCCGTCAAGACTTACAAGCTCCCATCAGACCGACAGAGCTGGTACCGTCCGAGTCACAGTGCTAAACTACAAATGATGTACATCACTCACAATATCTATAGACTACTGGACTGATGCCGTGACGCGACGGCTGTGCTCCTCGACATTTTACATGTTTTGACAAAATTTGGCATGCCGAACTTCTTTATAAATGCTAATACAACCTATTCTCAACGGGGACTCAACTAGGTTTGCTGAATCTGACAAACGGAACACAAGGGGTAAGAATGGTAAACCCCTATGCTTGGCCATTCATCTGTCTACAGGCGTGAAATTTCACGTACTGTAAAAAAACACCATCAAAAAGACAAACATAGCCCTAAGCTCACTCACCGACATAGCCAGGCACATACATCGCAGGACACTCAGTAGCACACACAAAACATACATCAGACCCAATGATGACCATTGCAATATTGTTTTTGACATACACATTACATTACATTGGCAGTGATTTCAGTGTTTGCTGATATCTGAGTGAGCTGTGATGGTGTTCTACGAGTGTTGTCGCTTTCGTTTGCATTCATTGGTCATGCATTCGTCCGTCATGCCGCTAAGCTGTGCTGCTGTTTCACTTTGTACCATCGTGCTGCGTCTGCGTGCCGTTCAGCGTCCTCTGCATCGCCACGTCTTCGTTGTACATGCCGGGACGACCTGCCACTCTTACGAAGGCCTTGTGATTCGTTGGTTACCCATGGTTTGCTATTTTGTCCAACGCGTTTTTTGTACGGTGGGGTAAGTGGTATGGCGTCCGATGCTGCTTCTAAATGAACCGATTAAAAACGCTCCGTCACTGCATGTACGCCACCATTAAGTTCATTACCACCATCTACGGGTAGCAGCGTCTGGGCCAGTTTGTGCCCCAACTTCTATGATCTGAGTGTGCTAAATGTGTCGATCAATGCTGAGTGCTGCTATTATCGGAACGTGACCAATGTTTGAGAAAGGTGGCTAGAGGGTAAAGTCTGTGATTGATTGCTTGGTGATCATTATGATCATGTCTCACAACTTGGCTATGGCATCTTTGATAGTGGAAAGGATATTGATTACCTTTGAATGGCTCGGTACGTTCAAGAGTCTTTCAGCTTGATGTAAAATGATGTGGTGGCATTTTTCGAGCGTGCTTTCCAGCGAGAAAGATATTACCTGTGTTGAAGTCTTACTCCTAGATGCTATCAGTAAGCATCGTGGAGTCATTCTATTTGTGCCGATATTTCAGACACAGATTGCATTTGCCAACGGACGTTATGCAACAAGCACGTGGTGACACCGCCACGTTTTTTTTAATGTCAATTCTTGCAGCCGAAATACTTACCAGAAAAATGTTGCGACTATTTGGCCTCTGGCACGTGAACCAGAACTAGATCAGGGCAATGCCAGTGCTGGTGCACGTGATTCTTGATCCCACAAGAGGCGAGATTAAGCCGGAAGCGAGATTAAGATGCAAATCAATCAATCAGAGGCGGATCAATCCAGCCAGAGGCGGAATCAAGGGGCGATTGTCTCCCCAGAGGGAGCGGACGGCGGAAGGGAGGCGAGAGAGGCGGAATCAAGGGGCGGTTGTCTCCACAGAGGGAGCGGACGGCGGAGGGGAGGTGAGAGGGACGGAATCAAGGAGCGGTTGTTCCCGGAGGGAGCGGACGGCGGAGGGGAGGTCAGAGAGGCGGAATCAAGGAGCGGTTGTTTCCACAGAGGGAGTGGACGGCGGAGGGGAGGCGAGAGAGGCCAGTGGCAAGCGTCCGCCCGGTGCCGAGAATGAATGGGGATAAGAATAGCGCCTTGTTGGCGGCAATCCAGCGGCGGCAGACAAGCAGCGCGTTTTAAATCCGGTGAAAGTGCGCTCGCATATCCCGCATGGTCTAGTGGCTAGGATACACGGCTCTCACCCGTGAGGCCCGGGTGCGATTCCCGGTGCGGGAATTTATTTAAGCTTTTAAGCTTTACTCTGAAGGCATTGGCCAATTGGTTAAGAAGCAACCACATTCTGCTACTCATATAAAAACTTCAAGTCACCTGTTTCCTTCTGCGGTATTGAACAATGCACTTTCGCTTTGCAAAGTATTGAACTCTCCGTGCCGATTCCAGGGATTGTCAAGATTGAGGATTTCGTAAGCAGCGAAGAAGTACTTACAGTGCTCCGACTTATTTGCAGCTGATAAAACTGCATAAGACTGCATTCCATGTCATGAAGAACAAACTTTATCAGTGAGATACCCCAGACAAAATTCAGCTGATAGGTTAATTGGATCGCCTGATTCCAGGGTGGATACCACACACGCGATCCTCCAATCACTGGAAATGACACTGGCTGCCTGCAAGGAAGCGCTTGATCGGCAGGAGGTGCGGACCAATCACAGGGAAGCATTACCAGCGTCGGTATTCTGTCACCGCTGCCGAGCTGCACATCCGCCAGATCGGCGAGCACAGTCCAGGCAGAGTGGCGCGTTTGAAAGCATAACTAGGCCTGTGAGTCTGAAAGTGGACAAATGATGGAGATGATTCAGTCAAGTGTCAATCTATCCTTACTTTTCCAGTCAGCGCCGAGAAACTTTCAGCTCTGGCACCTGAACTGGGAAACGTGCTTGGCATGGTAGGGAAGTATGCATCGTAGCAGAGCGTTTCTTTCATTACATGGCTGGCTGTTTACCCGGCGATGCCCGGGTGATGGAGAAGGATTTATTGCAAGCGAACCAATTGATATATTTGTATCTAATGGTATAAGATGACGTGATGACATTAAAAATCATGCGCATTCGTCCTTATACTGAACAGTGGGACATACTAACCAAATTGGGGCCCGGAAACCGTAAGTTGCAGCTATACAGTCAACACGGTGTCAAAATACCACACCAAAAGGCGGTCAGCTTCCTTGAAAGCGAGGGCAAACGGTAAGATACAATCTGGAGAAGCTGCTCAGCATTCTCAGATGGCCGCTTAATGGTCTCTGACACGAAAAAGGTCTCACCGTCCTACTGCATCGTTCTTTGACCAGCCGACCAGTCACTGGGTTCACGTGCCCCTCCGAGGTACAGCAGTAGACTCCGCTACCCGGCACAGGCACGGCCCGCGGCGGACGGGTCCAGCGCCGGGTAAGCGAGGCTTTTTACAGCGCAATATGGAGATGGACATATGCAAGCTGGATATCGATGTGCGTCGCGATTCTGTTGCAGCTGACTACATGCGTCGAGGGATCCTAAGATTGCAGTGCTTTCCTGTAGAGTAGATTCTTGGCTTTACCCTCCTTCGACAAGACGAACAGGTCATCTGCTCACTCTGGAGCTGCCAACGCAAAGCTGACTCCGGCAGACCACTGGCCCGGTCAGGTTGAGACCCGTTACCTCCAGGGACTTGGCTTGGGTCTTGTCCATAGTCACGGCGTAGCTCTGCTGGGCAGGAAGCTGTCTACGTTTGAACTCGAAGACATCAGATAAGATGAGCGTGATTCCTGGGATGAAGACGTTCATTCCCTCGGCCTCGCCTACCACAATGGTCGCTATGGCATGGCATGGGAGGTCCAGGTTTCGTAGGAGCATGACGCTCGCAGTTTACTTGCACCGAGTCGTGTGATGGCAGTCCTGATGACTCCAGGCTGCTGAGAAGCTCTAATGGGTAGCTCACAGCTTCCTCTGGGTCTGGGACAGTGTCCGCCGACTTGCAGATCCTTTACTCTCAATTCTGCGTCTCCACAAGCTTGCAGTTCATACCGTTGACATCAAAATTTTCGGCACCAGGATGACCTGCTTGCTGAAACAGGTTTGCTCTTCCAGGTTAGTGACACGTTGAACATGAGGCCGTCGACAAATTCTACGTTTTCACCGGAGGAAAGGCTGAAATGGCTAACTTGGCGCTGGATCTGACCGTTGCCAACTTGTAGCAGGGTTGCCAACTGGCCTACTGCTTTGTCGCAGTTAAAATGAGCACACATTGCTGGCGGCATTCTTACTGATGCTCGGTTCATCACTCAATACTCGTCACGCTGTAATTTATGTAACGCCACGGATAACGCAAAAACCTTTTTTAATCATCACTCATTGAGTGTTTAAACTCATTGAGTTAAATCATCACTCATTGAGCTCTGCTGGTCGTCATAGTCTGATTTTCATTCCGTCTGTTTTCTTGCAACTGGCAGATATGCAATGAAGCGGCACGCGGCAGCCGACATTCTTCGTTGCTCCGGTGAGTTTCAAGCCGGCCGTTGACAGTGGTAACCCTATGGGGCGAGCCGACTCGCATCACGTCACTCGCGGCGGTCTGACCTTGACCGAAGTGTTACATAAACATTCCTCTCGTCGCGCGGACTCAGAGCTTTATAGGTTCGGATGGACTACCATCGACGGTTCTCGAAGTAGTGGATGCCATATGACCGAGTTTACCTTGCATCATGTATTATAGACTGGTTGGGTATAGTACCGTTAGAGTTTCTTCGAATACAGATGTCGTCAAGTTTGAACGCTCTTGCCATCTTAATAAATTTGTTACGGAATGTTTGCGATGTTGCTATATGCGTGGTGTGCACATTTGCTTTACCCTTTTAACAGCGGTCTTCGTCAAGTAGGTTATAATAATGCCTCAACTTTCCTTATGTTATCATATTTTTGGAGAATTGCCAAAAACTGGCGACAAGTCATAAGCAAATGTGATCTGACAGCGTGATCTGAGACACCATAAACAACATGACAAGTAGTGGAACGTACCCGACTGCTAGGTCAGCAATATGGGTCCCGAACGCATGCACATGTTGACGTCGATGACACGCGGCAGTTACCGTGAGCCCGTCCGAGTCCAGCGTGGCCCGGGAGGCGGCGTCACTAGTGGCCGGGCTGTCGTCCCGTCCCCGGCTACAGTCGATCGGCTCGGTCTCGGCGTACAGCGAGGAGCTACTGTCGCTGCCGCTGCTGGCGCCGTCGGCGTACGGCGCCGCCAGGCGTGGAACCCCGGCTGTGGTTGTGGCGCCATCTGTAAGCGACACCAACAACAACTGTATGTCGCAGTTCATCGTAGATGGCGATATAAATCAGCGGCGTGGTACAGTGACCAGCATGGGCTGTTCTGATTTTGCAAATTTAGACCTAAGACCGAGCCGTTTTTTAGAAGAAGAAAAACGCTAAGATTTGAGTTAGTCTGTGCGAGCACATGCTTAATTATATCAGTTTAAGCATCTGTGGGATTGACTGTGGATTTGTCCTCAAATCGCCCTAAAGAGCGTGCGGGTTACGTTGGGAAAAAGTAATGCATCCTCTCATGCCCTTTTCCCGTGAGACTGTCTGGCAACATTTGGTATACCACCACCCGTACCTGGAACAATGTGTACCGCATATGACGTACCTCGCCGCTAGCTTAGTGCACTGTGCACCATACCTGTCGTCTTACGATTCATCGCTGTCGGGATTCGCTCGGCGCCTGGCAGCGGGGGGCCGGCCAGCGGCTGGTAGTCGCACTCGTAACAGCAGCACTGCTGGTACGCGCCGCCGCCGAACAGCGGCGAACGTGACGCGTGCCTGCGGCGTTCGAAGCGCGCCTGGGAACGTTCGCTGGCCGCGTCCGATGACAGCGAACGGCTGGTCTGCAAAGTGCCCGATCGGGAGATATGCCGTCAGGCACGATCCGTTCGCAGCACTCCTGGTTCATTTTCCGCTTTTTGCAGTTCGTACTTCGTGAGGTGTAGTGAAGGAGAAGCCTCAGGGAGCAGTTTTCAACATTAACGACAGCTGAACTACACTAATGAAGTACATGTTCATGCCTCTTCGGTTGGGTTGTTCTGAAATGCTTTATGAAATGCGATGTCAACTTTCCAAAAGCTATCTTGCATACTCGTGCTGAATTCATTGTAAACGTAACTTGGGCCAAGCTTCAGCAATTGGCATAACAATTCCCCCTTCACATGAACTGTGAGTGAACTAACTCACATGTGTTTTTGGATATGTAGGCGCGCAATTGTCGGGCTTGTTTGGAGAAGAAATGTTCCTCTGCATTGAGCTTCTCTTTTCAGAGCAGTGATGTGAAGTACCATTAGTCACAGAACTCGGCAGGTTCCTTTCACACCCCCACCACCCTCAAATGCCTCGGAGTGAGTTCTGGATGCGCCGCATCAACCGAGCCGCTAGTTCGCGAGCGCGGTTGTCTTTCACGCGAATTTCCAGAGGGCGCACGAAATTAAGGGGTAAGTTGTGAACGTAGGCGGTGCCCCTTTATTGGCTCACCGCTGCATGCGTGGCATCAGCTGAAATTGCCGGCCTAGTAGTTTCCTGAGTCTTCTTTGATGATGGGATATTGGAGGAACGCCCTTGAAGACGTGCATAAATGAAGAAAGCACCTATCAAAGCGTGATTCTGGCACTTTGGCGTACACAACGAGAAGAAAAGCCCGAGATTTAGTTTATCAGTGCCGCGGTGTAATCAGTGTCAGGAAATTAGTTTCCCACTTAGGGAAGTGGTGCAGTAATAATTCCGAATTCATCCTGCAGATAAGATTACCTTGAGAAAGAATAAAACGCAAACCGTCCGTATGGGGTTGAGGGTGCGAAACGAAGTTTGTCTTCTTGCTGCGTCGGTACGGAACTGGAAAACGAAGGTCGACAAGAAGCTTGGCCAACACTGACCTATCATAAAAGACAGATGCAGGAGGTCCATTCTGCAAATGAATGATATTGAAAGTAGGATGAGTGACAAAGGCCCTTTTCCCATGGCCCATATCGACGCCATGGAGATAATCAAGCTCCAAACGGACGAAGGCCTTCTTTAGGCCTAACAGGAGCTGCGCCATCGAGAGCTCGCGGGAGTGGTCAAACTGTTTTGTCTGGGAAGAAAAAGCGTGCAGCCCAACAGATCTTTAACTATGGACCGGTAACGCGATTTCTAAGCCAGCTACCTAAATTCATGAGATATCTGAATTAGAAAGTGAAAATGATCCTCAATTTTCTGTGCGATCCAAACAACGCGGGGAGCAGAAAGGAGCACATCCCCAGAACGCGCCAGCTGTGCCAAAGCCAACGTCAAGGCCCACGTGAAGGCGCGCAGGATGTAGATGGCCATTTTGCAACTGAACTGTTAACTGGGCAGCATGGGCGACCAGTGCGACATGGCAACTGCATCAGCACCCACACTAACCTTTATTTGTATTGCTGTAATTCTGTCACTTCGGCATGGAGTGGTACTGGGGCAGGCGGTCTCACCCCACCAGCTTTAATCAGCGCTCCCCAGCCGTGCTGTACCGTGCCACCAGCGAACGTGCGTGTCATTGCAGTCAGGAGATGACAAGCTGTCAGTCAACAGGCTTTGAGTGTTCAGTGTGGCGAAAGCGTGGCTCGTGCAATGTCAGGTAAACCTTGTTGCTTTTGAAGCCTATGATCTGCAGAACTTAACTCCCTAGAAACACACGTTTCCGTTTATATGCGGCGGGTCCGTGAAACTTGCACCAACCCTGGTGATAATCCTTGAATGGCCCAAGCCCCCTCCCCAACAGCATCAGCGAACACCATTTGCACCGTTGTTCATCTGAAATGCGTGGTGTGACCGCAGCATGGCGTCTGAAAAACCGCCACCGCCTGTCAGTGGCCCCCGCGCCAAAGCTTCACGGCTTGACCTACTGTCAGGTCCTGGTGGGGCCAACACACTGACCTGGCTGCGGGCGCTCTTGGTACGCCGTGACAGATGCAGGCTGCTGCTGGGGCTCAGGCCGGCTGCCGACCTCTGAACCGGGGTCGTGACCTGCGGATGACCCTGGCCGGGCCAGGCCACGGCCGCGGCGCTGGCACACGACCCGCGGCCGGCTGAGTCGTACTGAGCCGGCAGCTGGTTAGCGTAGATGTGGCGCCGCTCGGCGGCCGGGTCCGACTCCCGACGCTTGTGGAACAGGTCATCACGCAGCCAGAGCGTGTTCCTCGTCAGCACGTCCGGCTTGGGCTGGTGCATGATGACTGGCATCTTCGCGTCAGCGTACAGCACTGAGATCAGAGAAAGGCGTCAAAACGCTATCCGACCTGACCGTAGCGTTATGTGTTCATGCCTACCCAAAGGTGAACTTGGCGTTTTTGATTGGAGAGGGGGGGGGGGGGCAACCCATGAATCCTATCCATCCTGTCCATAGTCCATCCTGTTTTCGAAACATAGTGTATCACGAATTTTGTCCGCTTTATTCTACTGCCATAATTGGAGTTAATGTAAGAATGTCCCTCAGCTCCTGGGTTTTCGGTATTATGAGCTCAATGCTCTTTTGTTGAGTTAACGGCCTTCGATATATCAGGAGGTACTGGTCAAACGGCACTGCGGCGCTTAACACCGGATAAGTTGGAGGAAATCAATAATATGAGCTGCGCTCATACTTCAGAGCTGACCTTATGAGGATGAGCACGGGAAAACAGATGGATGCATGTATGTTTGTAATGTTTTTTCATAGACGTCTCACAACTCCCAAAATGAACATGACGATTTTGCATCCTGTTTTCATGTAAAACACGGATCATTTGCTACAGAAGAACTACGCACTTTGTGGCCACAGCACCCGCCTGTCAAAGTGGACACAGCATTTGCCTACAAATGGTGCCGCTTCAAGGCCGCTTCAGGAGGCTGCGGGAAGGGCAATACTTTTAGGTGGCTGTTGGGCTCCTCCAGGAGGTACCAGCACTGGGGCTAAACAAGATACCTCATTGATTGACATGATGGTAATGCTCTAGGACTGTCTAAATTTGATGCTCTCATACTGCTTGTTATCGAGCAACGTAGACAGGAGTTTCTTTTGATGGTGAGACGGAGAAGACATGGGGCCATGCCAACCACCCCTTTGGACCACCAATGACCAATCTCCTTGGGCCGCACCAAAACCTCATTTCGAAACCACATAGCCTATGTGGTTTCCAAGGGGCACCAAATTCCAAGGACACCGTAAAGAGTCCCATCTTTTATTTTCGGGAAGAACCCAAGTCCAGAGGCACTCCAATATTTGTGCCTTGTCCGTTTGACAAAATCCTGAATCGACCCATTCAGCAAAGGAGCACTAACACCATTATTCCCGATACCATAACCTTTATTTTCAAGAGACACCCAAGTCCTGAGGTCGCCAAGAAGGGCCTTAAATCTTCACTCTCTATACAACGACGTTGTGCCTCCCAGCCTGAACGAAATCTCGGAACAGTTCCTCAGGCAAAGAGCACCAAAACCTTTCTTTCGGGGCATTCATTTTTCAAAAGAACTTTCTCTGCATTTCACCGTGGCGAAATTCCTGATCGTCCCGTTCTTCGACGTGGGGCAGAATTTTCCATTTTTGGAGCCATAACCCTTATTTTCCGGAGGCGTTCAATTCCAGGGAGCACCCCAAAGGTTTCCAAATATTTAGTATTAATATACAACAACTTTTAGGGAAGTGCAATACCTGTGGCACTAAACTGATGAGATCATGGATAGACATATTTGGCGAATGGACACCAAAGCCCTCATTTCACAGCACCAAAACATGTATTTACTATAGACAAGTCCAAGCGGTTTTTTGAAAGGGCCCTGAAGCCTCTATTTTAAGAAACGTCACGATTTCCTTGCTTTCCATCCTCACCGAATGCTGGATCAACCCGTTCCGCGAAGAGGCACCACAACACCTTCATTGCGGAACGTCGTAAACATGATTGAAGCAGGCACCCAATTCCAAGCCACAATGCTCGTATCTTCAACCAGGGAAAATCCTAAATCGGCCCATTCAGCTATGAGCCACCAAAACACCTATTGCAGGGCGTCATAACGTTCATTTTTAGCAGGCACCAAATCCAAACGGGCCATTTAAAAACCCTATCAATTTAATTTTCATATGTTACCAAAATTAGGGGTTACACAGCTTCTGTGCCTT